TTTATCCCATTTGATTGAGCAACTTTAATCCACCTAACATTCAGTCTTTATCAACCATTGACGATTGTTTTGGGAGAAAACAAATTTTCAAACAAAGTTGGTTTTTATGGGAAAGGGTGTAAGCACCAAGCATAGGGACAGAGCTACCATAGGACAAGGGGGGACCGCAGCTACCCATGCAAGTCAGCAAATTTCAGACTACACTCTGTAGACTACAAATAGGCCGATGCAATTTTGTCAAAAATGGCTACTAAATTCCACAAAGATGGCTAACTCTCAACTGCATTTTCACTTTTCATTTATTGCCTTGTGTTAGATTTTGCCTATAAATAGCTATGTTCCATTCATTGTATGCATAAGTTTTAATCCAAAATTTTAGTTTATAATTCTCCTCTATTGAGTGAGTTTTTTTAGAGTGAATTCTCTCAATTTATTTCTGTATCTTAGGTTTTACCAATTTAAGTGGTGAACCTGACAATTAAATTCATCGTAGTGGGATTTTAAATCTCACCAAAATCGATGTTTTGGTATCGGCTCCTACGCCACTGATGATGAGAGCAAAAAAAAAAGAAATTTTTGAAGGAAATAACAACAAAAAGGAATTAGTTAAAAGGGAGAAACAAGAGAGAAAAAGTCATCAAAAGAATGTCTTTTATCATTAAAAAAAAAAAAAAAAAAAAAAGCCATCAAAAGAAACTATTTAATTTTTGGAAAAGGCAAGAAACCGGCTTTTCTCAGTTATCAATTTTAATGCCTAAACCTTTCAATTTTCTCACCACGTATCATCTTTTAAATGGGAAAGTGTCCAAGTGAGTGCTAAGGGGGAGTGTCCTGGCACTGCTCTTGCATCAAATTTAAAAATTTGACCTAATTTATTTACTGTGGATACCGTTACAAATTTAAGATATTAATTTAAAATTTAAAATAATCAAAAGTAAAATTATTTAGAATCAGGTTGAGTCAAATTACATCAAACATAACTCAGCTTGAGTCTTAGAAATTTAATTTATCGGCATAAAAATCAATGAAAAAGGTGGTTGATTATATTTATTTTATAATTGATATTATAAACACTTCAAAAATAATATAATCAATTAAAATAAAAATTAATTGATTGCAAATCTCAAAAGAAAATCTTCTAGAATTATTTGTCAATAAATACTTTCTCAACAATATAATCACTTATATTGATTTATAATTAATTATTATTTAAAATAATTATTTTTATTTTTATTTTTTAAAAAGCAATTACTTTTTGCGTTGATTTTTTGTTCATGAAAGTTTATTTTCTAAATCTAAGCCAACTAAAAGATGTTAACTTCCTTAGATATTACTTTTAGGACATGAGTGACCGACCAAAGAGGCCCAAGATATTTCGAACTTGTTTGAACTCACCGGCAAAGGTTTACATTTTTCCTGTGGAAAAACATTTTTACTTTAACTTGGACACCTACTGAAGATTAATTTAAAGTTTGTCCTTGATAATTGATATGACACAACGGCACGCGCCATGATCAATTTGTTGCTGTGGTAAACTAATTTGGATATTTATTTGTTAGAGTGTATACGGTTCAAGAGATTTTTCAGTCTCCATTGCCTAAAAATGTATAGATTATAAAAATATTAAAATAATTTTAATGAAAAATTATTAAAAATATTTAATTACATTCATAATCTTGAATTTGAAACTGCAAAATACTTCTTGATGCTTCAAACCTCACCATTTTATCTTGTATTTTTTTTGTTAATTTATTTTAAAAAATACAAGAACTAACTTTAAATCTAACCTTATTAACATGTACAAAATTTTAATTAAGTGGTTAAAAAAATTGAAATTAATTTTTTATACTAAATAATAAAAAATTATAATTAATACACTATTAACATAGGAAAACAACACTTTAACTAATTTCTACTATTTCCTAAGTCCAACGTAGAACACTTTTTTTTTTTTTTTTTTTTGAAAGGAGTACAAATGAGGGGGTGGGGTTCGATCCCTAACCTAAGAATTAGGGGGATGCATTTTCAAGAAGGTTTAAAGTCATCGGTCACTAGGTCCAAGTGTAAGTAAAACGCCTATTTACATTAAAAAAGAAAAAAGAAAAAAGAAAAAAGAAAAAATAGAACGGCTATTTAAGAAAAATTATAATAATAAAAAAAGGAATGTTTATAAGACAAAAATCCTCGCTTGTCCTCCACGCTCTTCCTTCGTTACTTTCTCACTTTCAAATTCCTAGAGTTTGCCTTCCCGTTCTTTAATTTCCCCTTCCACTGTACTGGTAAACATTCTCTTGCTTTCTCTTTCCTTCAAAAATTTCCAAAAACACGAACTCTTCCATTTTCATTCCATTCTCAAACTAATTAATTCGTTTCACTTCCTCTGTTTCTCTTTTTGAACTCCTTTTCAGAACCAAAATAACACCGTCACTTTTTTCACCCTGATCCTGTCAACAAAATCCTCTTGCTCTTCAATTTTCCTGGGTTTAGCCTCTACGCTCTTCTGTCCTGCTTTGCTCTCTCTACACTTGATTGATTTGTGCTCCTACTCGCTGTTTTTCTGCCCAAAAAGCCAAACAAAAGAAAGCTTTCTCACTTCTATTATCTCAAACAAATCATTGTTCACCTCCTGTTTTCACTATTTGATTTGCTTCTCTCTACTTTTGTTACCCTTTTTTTTTTTTTTTCTTTTTTGTCCATATTTATTTCTAAAATCTCCAAAAAGAAAAAATAGAAAAAAAAGAATTAGAAGATGGCCGAGGCTTTTGGTATTGCTGTGGCTGAGAATGCTGCTGGAACTGTTGCTGGGAGCTGGATTGATCGGAGTTTGAAGCGAATCTTAAATCCAATCATTCTTGTCGTCAATTGGAAGGCTAATGTTGAGAATCTGAAGAAACAAGTTGCAGAGCTCAAGGAAGAAGTACAGAGAGTGGAGCACCAAACTCAAGCTGCTGAAAGAAGAGGGGAAGAAATCGAACAGATGCTCAAGACTTGGTTGACTAAGACAAGCAAGTTCATTGAAGCGGAAAACACAGTAGAGGATGATGAAGAAAAACCAAGGAAGAAGTGTTTCTTTGGGATATGTATTAATCCCCTGTCTCGTTACAGACTCAGTAAGCAGTCGGTAGAGGATTCCAAGGATGTTGCTGATCTTCTGCGAAAAGCATGTGGATTCAACCTTCCAATTTCCTACTATCCTATTCCACAACAGGAGGTGGCTGCGCCTGTCAAGGGTTTTCAGGATTTTGACTCAAGAATGAAAGTTTTGGACGAGATCATGGAAGCATTGAAGAGTCCAAACATCAACGGAATAGGAGTGCATGGGATGCCAGGTGTAGGGAAGACGATGCTGCTCAAAGAAGTTAAAAGAAAAGCCGAGCAAGAGAAGTTGTTTGATGTTGTAGTTATGGCTCCTGTGACAGAGCATCCTGACTTGAGAAAAATTCAAGACGAAATAGCATATGGGTTGGGTCTAGAGCTTCCTGCTGGGATTGGTGATCGGAGCATTGCTGTCCGAATTAAAGAAAGAATTTTGAAAAAGAGAAAGGTTCTTGTGGTGTTGGACGACCTTTGGGATAGACTAGATTTGGAGGCGGTTGGAATTCCCTTCGAAGATCAACAGAAAGAGATTGTTGAACCTAGCTCATCTTCTGCAAAAGATCAACAGAAAGAGATTGTTGAAACTAGCTCATCTTCTGCAAAAGATCAACAAATGGAATGCAAGATCTTATTGTCATCTAGACTGCTTAACGTTCTCACAGATAAAATGGTCACTCATAAGAAGGTTGCAGTTGGTCAATTGGAGGATCAAGAAGCATGGCAAATGTTTAAGAAGATAGTTGGTGACAGGCCTGAAAGTAGTGAATTACAGCCTACAGGCATTGAGATTGTCCGAAGATGTGGAGGATTACCTGTAGCTATTGCAGCCCTTGCAGAAGCTTTGAAAAATAAGAGTTCGTACAAATGGAGGAGTGCTCTACAAAAACTAAGAGATCCCTCGCCAAGCAACTGCACCGGTATACATGCTGGAGTTCATGCTGCTATTGAGATAAGTTACAATCATTTGGGAAGTCAAGACCTTAAGCAAGCTTTCTTACTTTCAAGTTTGATGGGTCGCAATGTTTCAATTCAAGACTTGTTGAAGTATGGCCTAGGCTTAGGCATATTTTCACAAGCTTACACCATAGAGGAAGCACGGTATGAAGTATTAACATTGATAAGTAATCTGAAAGATTCTTCTTTGTTGATGGATGGTTCTAACAGTGAGCGCTTTGGTATGCATGATATTATTCGTAGTGTAGCTATATCAATCGCCTGCAGGGATCGTCATGTGTTGTTCTCAACAGGTGATCATGTCCCGAAGTGGTCAGACAAGGAGGCAATGAAAGATTTCAAATGGATTAGTCTGGAATATGCTAATGTTAATGAGCTTCCTGATGAGTTAGAAAGTCCTCAGCTTACTTTATTTTGTTTGTGTAATGAGGGTCATTCTCTTGGAATTCCAGCAAACTTTTTCAAGGGAATGCAAAGTCTCAAGGTATTGGATTTGACTAGTGTGAATATGTCATCCATGCCTCCATCAATTTGTCTTCTAAAAAACCTCCACACACTTTGTTTGGATCAAAGCTTGTTGGGAGACATAGCTATTATTGGAGAGCTAAAGAATTTAGAAGTTCTTAGCCTTTTGAAGTCTGATATTGAAAAGCTGCCAAGAGAAATTGGGCAATTGACTAAGCTAAAGTTGTTAGATTTGAGTAACTGCATCAAGCTCAAAGTAATTCCCCCAGGAGTCTTGGCATGTCTGTCTAGATTAGAAGAATTGTATTTGGGAAGTAGCTTCGACAGATGGGAGCATGAGGAGCACGAAAATCAAGAAAATGCTAGCGTTGCTGAGTTGAAGCATTTGAAGGAATTGACTGCTTTAGAGGTACGCATTCCTGATGCTCAGATGATCCCAATAGGCTTGTTCTCTGAAAAATTAACAAGACATAAGATATTCCTAGGATATGAGTGGAACAACTGGACTAGTTCTTTTGAAAGCTCTAGAATAGTGAAGCTGCAGTTGAAGGCATACATCAATTTTGACTATTCAATTAAACGGATGTTGAAGATGACCGAAGAGCTACATCTAGAGGAGTTGAATGGTGTGAATAATGTGGTTGATGAGTTCAATAGTGAAGGTTTTAAACATTTGAAGTACCTCGATGTTCGTAATGCTGCAGAGGTTCAACAGATCGTTAAATCAGAAGAGGGGGTTCCTTTCAATGCATTTTCCAGCTTGGAAGTACTGTTTCTCCATAACTTGATTAAATTGGAGAACATATTTCAAGGCTTGTTCCAAAAGACTGCTTTTAACAAATTAAGAGTGATTACTGTTGAATGTTGTAATCAACTGAAGAATTTGTTCTCCTGCTCTGTAGCCCAACAACTTCTGCAACTCCGACGTATTACAGCAACAGATTGCAGCAACATGGAAGAGATAGTTGATAATGAGGAGGAAGGGAACGGAAATGCTATTGTTGAAGCAACTGAAGGAGTTCAGTGGAAGTTTGGGGGACTACTGCGATCCTTAAGGTTACAAAATCTAGCGAAGCTGACTCACTTTAACCGGGGTTGCAGGGGCATGATACTTTTCAGCGACCAGGTAAGTCATTTATCTCCGTTTCACTGTTGTTCCTTTTCAAGTCGTCTACTATATAAGAATCCTATTCTGCATTTTCAATTGTACTGACTTATAAAATAAAAGTCCTAACCGTTCATCCATAGTTAGGGGTAGAGCTAGAAAATTAAGTGAGGGGGTGTAACTTTTTCGTGATAATTTGAGTCTTAAATGTCTTTTATAATATTAATTAATTTTTTAAAGAAAAATTTTAATTTTTATTTTTTTCGTTAATATTTTCTTAGAATCTTAACAAAATTAAGAATTTAATATATTTTCTTCATCCTATATCTTTAATAATTTTTTATTAAATGAATCAATTTATTAAAATAACAGTGCCTCACTGTGATAATACTTTAAACAACATATAGATAAATTAATTCAAACAATTTCAAAGTCTTACTCTTTCCATCTCAAAATTTCTATCTTTTTTTTACTGACTTATTTACTAAAAGTTATTTTGCATTCCAAAAAACTAAAAAAAAATGAAAGAGGAAACATGAAATTCAGTACTTAGAAACTAAAATCATTGACTAAATAAAAACTCAAATATTTTGATCAACTAAAGTTTTTGTTAATCAAACCACTTTTTAAAATAAATGGCAAATTAAAAAATAAAATCCTAAAACAATTCAAAAACATAAAGAGATAAGATCTTTGAGTTTGTGTTTAATTAAGGGTTTTTTAAACTTGTACCCTAAGAGTATTTTTATATGATAAATGTATATAAAAAATTATAAAAACTGATATTAATTTTAATGTTAGTGCTAAATAGGTAAATTTAAATAAACAGTTAAAAAATTAAATGTTCATTTTTATTTTTTTAATATAAATTTATGACAAAAAGATATATTTAATACACCATTGAATTATGCCCTTAGAGTACATGTTAGATAAACCCTTTAATTAAAAGTCTCAATTTCTAAGTTACTCAATTTGTAGGAAATTCGTTTATTTAGATTATAATATTTTTATCATTTGCAAAGTATTTAATTAAATATTAATAATCTCTTTATATTTGAAATGGTGGTTATAATAAAAATATTACAAATTGCATTGCTTTATTTTGAGCTGTTAAATATGAAGGATTATAAAAAGTTATATGATGATAACTTAAAATTTACATGATAAATTTAATATTTAAAAGTTTTAAATAAAAAATTAATATTTATACTAATTTTGAAAATTTTCAAAAGTAGAAGGGGGGCGACCATATCCCCCTCACAACCCTCTTCCTCCACTACTGATTTTAATTGTATAGATGGTGCAGTTCAAACAACACAATAGTTTTTTGACATTTATTTTAATGCATGAAAAATTAATTAGAAATTAATAGAGTAATTATATCCAAATTTATTGTTTGAAGATTTTAAGAAGTTTATCTCTTAATTACTTATAAACTTCTTACCATAATCAAGCATAAAGTTCTTTAAATTTTCAAAAAGGCTATTTTTTAACATGTGAATCTCATTCCTAATGAACTATTTTGTCTTCAATTTTACCCTAGTTTATTAATTTCTCCCTCGTTAATTAAGGTTAGTGTAAAACTTTTACTATACATTAATTAAAAAATATATTAGTGCTTATTAGTCTGACAAACACTTCAAAATTATATCATTCAATAAAACAACACAAGAAAACACAAAAACACTTTTATTTTTGCTTAAAAAATAAGTTATTTTTGTCTCTCTTCCATCTGTTACTTTTTTCTTATATATCCAATAACTGGCAAGTTTTGATTAAAAAAATGATTGGTATATCATCCAATTCAACACACTTATTAACACTCATCAATTCAATTATTCAAATCTATAATTTTTCATTTTTAATTTAAATTTAAAAATAATAATTTTTTTAATAAATGTGTTTTGAAATATATTAAATTGAAAAATATCTAAATCAATGTCCTTTTATCAAAGAGAATTGTATATTGTGCAGGTTGCGTTTCCAAACTTAGAGGAGTTGCATTTGTCCGAAATTAATGTTAACAAGATATGGCAGGCTTCAATTACACCTTCATCTATTGAAAACCTCACAAAATTAATCATTCAAGGCTGCCATAATTTGGGATACCTATTCTCATTCTCTATGATTCGTTGTTTGGTTAAGCTTGGACACCTTGAAATAAAGGAATGTAAAGGGATGGGAGAGATTATTGTCAGAGACAATGCGGAAGAACGAGAGAAAATGGTTCTTCCGCAGCTGAATTTCTTGTTGATGAAAGACCTTCAAAGCCTTGTTAGATTCTACTCTGGAAATTGTGTTGTTGAATTCCCATCCCTGAAGCAATTGGATATAAGGAACTGCCCAGAGTTCAAGGGATTCACAGTTAAATCTACAAGCACAGATGCTGCAACAGACATTGAGCCTCTCTTTAATGAACAAGTAAAGTTTTCTTCATTTCATTTGACTTTAGCTTTGTAACTTTAAAAGCTAGCTAATTGTCCTTATCTTTTTAACTAATTGGCGTGCTGAATTATGTAGGTTGCATTTCTCAGCTTGGAAAGATTAAGTATCACCCACTTGAAAAACTTGACAACGATATGGCAGGACCAACTTCATGTAGATTCCTTTTGCAAATTAAAGTCATTGGAAGTCCGATTCTGTGTGAAGCTAGTGACTGTTTTGCCATCTAATAATATGCTGGGAAATTTATGGACGTCGCTGGAGGAGTTAATTATAGATGGTTGTAGTTCATTAGAAGCAATATTTAAAATTGGAGAGTTTAATGCGACCAGAACACTTGTTGCTACAGACACCCAATTGAGAGTATTGCATATTGAGAATCTACCAAGATTGAAGCATGTGTGGGATAAGGATCCCAAAAGAATTCTTACTTTTCACAACTTGGAATCAGTGTTCGTTGATTCTTGTTGGAGTCTCTATCATCTGTTTCCAAGTTCAGTAGCCAAATATCTCTTACAACTTCAAAAACTAGTGATCTCCCGTAGTGGGTTGAAGGAAATTGTTGCAATGGGAACAGGAACTGAAGCAGTTGTTAAGTTTGAGTTTCCTCAAGTATCAAGCCTTGTTCTTTGGAACCTAACAAGTCTCCGATATTTCTATCCAGAAAAACACATAATAGAGTGGCCAATGTTAAAGAAGTTCTATTATTTTGATTGCGGCCAAGTAGAGAAAAGAAATGGACAGGAGCAGGACTATGAGCTTGACTTCCCAGTTCAACAACCACTTTTGTGTATGAAAAAGGTATGAGCCTTCTTATTTACATTGCATCGATCAGATTAAGTAGAACCTTTCATCAAATTGAAATAATTGAAGAATACACTGTTTCCAAGGTAATTAGACGCAGGAAATATATCACATTATCACTTAGCAGGCCACATGAATTAATTATGATTAACCAAGAGTCATGTATGTAAACTAATTGGATTGGATAATAATTTTTTCTTTTCTCATAAATAAGATAATCTCAATGATATCGTACTAATGCAATCTTTCTTTTTTTTAGAATATTGTATTTCCTTTCTAGGTCATCAAATTTGAGCATTTGATATATTTTTTATATTTTTTTCCAGAATTACTATCTGATTGTGGAACTTGTTGGATTGGTTTTCTTTAAGTAGGTCATACCTCAGTTGGAAGAACTGTCATTATCCGAACGTGACATCTCAGGGTTATGCGGTGAATGCCAATTCAAACAGAACCTCTTTTTCAACATCAAACTTCTTTATATTCAAAACTATTTTGATGATGAATCAGATGGTTTTCCCATGCGCTTCCTCCATAAGTTCTCCAATTTGGAGAAGCTCGTTTTCACGGATTGTCATTTGACAGAGTTATTCCCTTCGAAAGATCAGGTTGAAGAACAAGAGAAACATGGAGAGACACTCTCAAGGATTAGGGAATTGGAGCTGGATGGTATTGATACTCTTAGGCATATATCAACATCAAAAATCGCATCTTTCCAGAATCTCACCTATTTGCGTGTACAAGAATGTCACACTAGTCTGATAACATTGCTTTCAGTTTCTATAGCCCGCAGTCTGGTACAACTAGAACGTATGATTGTAACTGAATGCAACAGCCTGAGTAAAATAGTTGGAAGCGAAGGAGATGGAATTGACGATTCAATCATTAATTTCAGCAAGTTAAGATTTTTGGAACTTGAATGTTTGCAAAGATTAGAAAGATTTTGTTTAGGGAATTTCAACCTCAAGTTCCCATCCTTAGAAAAGGTAATTGTTCATCAGTGCCCCAGATTGAAGATCTTCAGTGAGAGAGACCTTGACACGCCACTACTACGAAAGGTAGAATTAGTTGAAGGAGAGGATAAGGGGATTTGGGCTGGCGACCTTAATACCACCATACAAAGAATGTATAAGGAAAAGGTATTAATTAATTAAGCTACCTATTCTTTTTGTTTAATTTTTTAATCTTATTTTTGGACTCTTGTGTTAATTATATCTAGCATGTATTGTTTTCCCCTGGTAGGTTGGTTTAAAGAATTTAACACTATCAGACTTTCCTGAGTTAATGGAAATATGGCACATAAAGAGCCCTCAAGAGATAAGTTTGGATTGGAGACTGCTTCTAAATCTGCAAATTTATGATTGTAGCAACTTCACGTACCTATTGACCCCCTCCATGGTGCTTTGCCTCGTGCAACTCAGAACCATACAAGTAAAATGCTGTGCGATGATGGAACAAGTGATAATGGGTGATGAAGAAAGTAAGATGATATTTCCACAATTACAGTTCATTATGCTACAATCATGCTCAAACTTGACAACTTTCTGTGGGGGAAGCTATAATAGTCTTGAAATTCCAGCATTAACGGACATTATAGTAGAAGACTGCCCAAAAATGGTTACATTTACTTCAACATCCTTCAGAGAGCATAGGAAAGAAGCATCTCAGTACTATTTTAGCAGCAAGGTAAAAAATTTTTCTTATTGTTTTCTTGTTCGCACACTTTATTATGAGCTGTACAAGGCTTCACTGTTGTTTTCTCGTTGAGTATAGTTTACTGTACAAATATATTTGAGGTCCATTTGATGCACGGTTACAATATATGCTATATATAGATACATATTCATGCATTTAATCATGGATCATACATAATTGTATGTGCAACGTAGAATTTACTAAATAAGGAGTACTGAAAATGATGTGAATGCTTATGCACCATCTCTCTTTTGAGGGAAAGGTGGTTTCTTCTCTCTCTCTCTTTTTCATTATTAATTTTTCAGAATTCGACTCATTAAAGCTTTTATATTTTAATCTATAGCATCTGTTCTTTTTACACGGGGTAATTTCCCCTCTTCCACATCACTTCATCAATAACTTTATGTTCAAAAGGCTGTATATAGAATTCATATATTCATATATTTTTAATCTACAAATTACATATAATGGAATATATACTGTGGCAATAGTAAGTATAAAAGCCTGGGTACTTTTATTCCTCTTTAACTAAACTTTTCTAATTTATCAAAATTAATATCATATGAAATTCATGCTCCTGCTTCCATCTCATTCCTACACTTTTCTTTAATTCAAGAATAAAGGTTTTAATATAAGACCTAACATTCTTACTTAAACCTTTTTTCAGTGATAAGGTTGGTTTTTTTTTTTTTTTTTTTTTTTGTAAAAATTATTTTTGTACTTCTTTGAAAGGTGTTTGGAATTTGGATGCTGATGCTACTATCTCCATTTATTTACCATTTTTATATCAATCACCATAAATAGTTGTGGTTAGACTATTCTTTCACATTTTTACTTAAAATGCGAAATTACTTAAACAATGTTAAAACAGCCCAAATTTGAAATTGTATGACATTGTTTTCTTTAGATTAAGAAAAAATTGTTCATAATAAAGGATCTCTTTGCAGGTTGAGTTTCCCAATTTGAAGTCTTTGAAACTATCTTCACTTAACATTAATCAAATTTGGAACAAGAATCATGAAGAAATCTCATCTTTCAAAAAACTTCAACATCTAGAAGTTTGTAATTGTAGCAACTTGAGCTACCTTCTAACACCTTCGATGGCATTGGGCCTTGTGCAACTTAAGGACTTGGAGGTAAAAGATTGTGCAACAATGGAACAAGTGATCATGGCTGCAAGAGTTGAGGAGGTAGTTCAAACTGGCTTAATATTCCCACAACTAAACCACATTTTGCTAGAGTCTTGTTCCAAGTTGTCAAGTTTCTATGTGGGAAGTAATACCCTCAACTTTCCAATGTTGAAGAAAATTATTGTAAAGAACTGTTTAAAGAGGGTTAGATTCGCTTCCAAATTTCTAAGTGATAAAGAGAAAGAGATAGCTGAAGGAAGAAATGAGGAAGTGCATGTCAAGGAAGAACCCGATGTCTTCATTGAGGCCTTTTTCTGTGATGAGGTGAGTTTCCCTTTTTTTTTCTTTTTTTTAAAGAATTTTTTTCACAAATTTGATAAGGACAAGACTTCACTATACTTCCTTCGTAGAGTATACTTTTACTATTCTATAGCACTTCTATAACTATAGACATAAATGTGTTTGATGGATTAAGGTCAAAAGCCTTAGCAAATATTAAAACTTGTGTACTATCATTCCTCTTCAACTAAATATTTCTACATGAAAATTTATATCGTATGAAATTCAAGTTCATGCTTTTATGTCATTCCTACACTCTTCTTAGATTCAAGAAAAAAAGTTTTACTGAAATTGAAACTTCTTTGTAGGTTGAGCTTCCTATCTTGGAGACGTTGACTCTGTCCTCAATCAATGTAAAGCAAATATGGAACAGTCAACTTTCATCAATATCTTCATTTGTTCAACATTTAACAAAGTTGAATGTGGTCAATTGTTCCAATTTGAAGTATATGTTTACATTCTCGATGGTTAAAAGTTTTGTGCAACTTGAAGAACTCAGGATTAGTGGATGTGAGATGGTGGAAGTGGTAATATTGATAGAAGAGATGGTAGAAGAAGAAAAGATTTGCCAGACAGTGTTCCCCAAACTATATGCCTTAGTGCTTAATGACCTACCCCAACTTGCAACATTGTGCTCTAATTGTGATTCTCTAGGGAAAATTTCTGACTCTGAAAGGGTCAATTTTGGTAGTGGATCACAAAAGCTGCTAGCCACGCAATCAACTTTGGTTGAAACAGAAGCCACCAAGCTTTTATTTTCTCAAGTGACACACCTGATGCTTAGACTCTTACCAAAATTCAAGGGTTTCTTCCCTCAAATGCACATCACAGAATGGCCATCATTGAAAAGTTTAGTTGTGATCGAATGTCATGGAGCACAAATAGTTGCTTCAGAATTTTCAAGCATTGAGATGACACGTAGAGACAGCCAACTTGAAAGGGAATCTCAACATCTCATATTTTGGATTAGCAAGGTATGTACAATCAAGTCCAAAAGGAAAAAAAATGCATATATCTTATACACATACATGCTCCACTTTTGTTCTTACAATAACTGAAGAAAGAAAATAGGAAAAGTAATATATGAAGACAAAATAAAGAAAATGTTCTATTTGTTTTCCCTGTTTTAATTTTATTTTGAAGATAAAGAAATAAATTCACAAAAGCTTGTTAAAAGATCATCTCAACCATGTTTTGAATTCCTACCTATAGAGATTGATAACTTTGATTTAAAAAATGTCTTGCTCTCATGTTTTCTGAAATAGTGATTGGTACACACTCGATTTAACATACTACACAACACACTTGATGTAAAACCAATTGAATTGATTGTATTTATATTATATTTTAATAATTAAATTAGAATAAATATTAAAAAATATGTTAAATCGAATATGTGTACCATTCATTTTCTTATTTTCTATTATCCAACATAAATCCTAAAGATGCTAGCTAAAATTTTGTTATCCTAATCTTTTAATAGAAGTAAGCCCCACGTAATTTAATTTAACTTTTGGTCATCATGAGTAAAAAAGGTACCTTAAAAAAATGTTTTCTTTTTCATTTTAATACCTGGGTCTTTCTTCCAGCTTAAGTAATTACTAGTTTGCAAATTAAGAAAATTTGTTACAAGAATATTCTTCAGGTTAATCAATATGATTATATAATTAAAGATTTTTACATAGCAATCACCTAAATAATAATTTATTATTTCTTGAAATTGGAGTGATAGAAAAATGGAAGAATTGCAAAAACAAAACAATAATAAAGAAAGAAAAAATAGATGCGATTATGTAAGATGAAGTGATTTTTCACTGGCCGAAGAATGTGGAAAGCAATTTTTATGGTTAGGAATAAGCGTAAAAGCATTATTGGTTTTCAAAATCAAGATTTATTGTGTAACTTAGAAATGACAAATTTATTAAAGAATAATAGATATATTTAAAGTTTGGATTGCCTTCTTAACTCGTGTCAATTTCTCAGGCTACATTTCCTAGTCTAGAACGCCTGGTTGTGAAATGGAATGACAATATAAAGATACAGTGTGGACATCATCCAGAGGAGTATTTTGGTAAACTAAAGGTTCTGCACCTCCTTGGCTTTCCTAAGCAATCGGCTTTTCTTCTGCCTTTCTTCTTCCACTCCCTGCCCAATCTCGAAGAGCTTCATGTGAAGGATGCTTTCTTCGATGAAATATTACAATGTGAAGAAGTTACTGGTGAGGAAAAACCTGTCTGTGGACGCACTCCATTAAGCAAATTAAGATTGTCCAAACTTCATGAGCTAACACATATTTGGAAGGAAGAATCCCAACTTGAAGTAGACATTCTCAGAAACCTAAAAACTCTAAAAGTGCAGGAATGTAGCAGATTGAAGAATTTAGTTCCCTCCACTGTATATTTCGACAATTTGCAGACTCTAGTAGTATCTGAGTGTCATGGACTTGTCAATTTAGTGAGATACTCAACAGCAAAAGGCTTGGGCCAACTCAGAATAATGAAAGTAGACAATTGTGAGATGATAGAAGAAATTATCGTATGTTTGGGTGATGCTGTGAAGGATGGCATTGTTTTCACCAAATTGAATTGTTTGCAACTTAAAGGTCTACCAAGACTAGAAAGCTTCAGCTCAAGGGATTGCAACTTTAAATTCCCAGCTTTGACAGAGGTAATTATTACAGAGTGTCCAAATATGCAGATTTTCTCTAAGGGAGAACTGAGCACACCAAGACTGTATGAAGTGAAATTGACAGGACATATATATGAATATATGGATGAAGATATAGAGGAAGATATAGAGAAAAAAGTAGATGATATTTTTAATAAAGATGGAGGCGGCGTAAAAGTTGTTAGAGATCGAGATGAAAGATGCTGGGTAGGGAACCTTAACAGCACTGTACAACAGTTGTTCAAGGAAAAGGTATGTAGTGATGAATTCAAAGACTTCCTCATGTTTTTTTTCCACCTTTTTAAGCTTTTTGTTTAACCTTTTCCTTAATCATCAGTTAAGAACATGGTCAAATTAATTAAAGAATCACCTAAATTATTTTTTTCATTTTATTTAAATAGTGTCCACTTCTTATAATGCTATTTAAAACATATCTAGATAAGATTGATGGATTAGAGTGCAAGGTCATGGTAATTTGATGAACTTCTTTTTCTTTTAATTTGCTATGCAAGTCAAGTAAGCACTTTCAGTTATACACCTTTTCACTGTAGTTTTTGCTTTCCCCTTTCAACATGTTATTTTGATGCTTACAGCATGCTCATAGTTCCAAAAAGAGCAACGGGGAAAAGAGTGATCATAGCGCTCAAGAGGATGGTAATTAATGGCTATGAACAAGATTGGAATTTTAGGTGATGTTTCTATCTCTATATATGAGATTTGTGAACTTGGTCCTGTGTCTATATATAATTGACATCTTAAGCAAAATCTTTAGAAATCTTTCTATACAAACATATCATATCTTTGTCGTAGCATGTATGAGAGAACCTTAAGTCTTATTCTTTTTGCTTCAATGTTTCTAACGTCTTTTTTAGAAAAAAAAAGAGCTTTATTATCCATGTGTTAGTCCTATTCTTGCTTTCTACGCCATTAATTAATATATGTTGTTCTTATGGTTACAGAATACCTAATTAAGATTTGAAAAAGGCATTAGTAGTTATTCTAAAAAGGATGATATTAATGGTGCTGAAGATGGATGCAATGGATTCTAGGTGGGTGCTGAAGATGGGTGCAATGGATTCTAGGTGAGTGGGCTTCTACTTCAATCATCTACACTTCTCCTATTTACCTTTCCATTCATACGAATGGTGCGCTCCCTATTTTATCTTATAATCATTTTATATGTATTAATGATGATTTCTTATTTCCTGGTAGGTTTTAATTGCACACTCACAAGAAGATAGATTTTTGGGCTACCAAGTTCTCACATTGCTTTGGCACTGAAAAGAATCTTTCAATTTCTTAAATTCGTGTGTTATATGATTATCAAATAGTTAGTTCTAGAACCCACTAGAGAACATTTCATTTTATTTTTCTTCTTGTGTTTGTTTTATTGTGTGAAAGAGAGCATTTGAATATGTTGTGTACCTTCATTCAAAAAAGAGATGAGATTTGTGAATTAATGATGTCATCCATCTTAATTTAGATTTAAATAGTATTCTAGTTTTGTTTTCATTCAAGAACGGAGACAATAGAAGGTTAATTTAGGCTTTGTTAAGTGTGATTGCAGTTACTGGTTTTTATAAATTTTACAACTTTAAACAAAAAAAACCCAATTAATTTTATGTGTTTTTATAACATATTTTTATGATTATTAAAGAAATAAAAACAAAAATAATTTTAATAAAAGAAGTTCATATTTTTAATTGTTAATGTTAAATTTTGTTTTAAGCAAATTTTAATTTTAGTTTTCAATAAGTTTTGTTGCTGCATGTGGTTCTACATGGTGGTTGAAAAAGCAAGCAAATTTTCCGCCTTTGAAATTTGGTTGCATGAGAAATCTTGTGGCAGTCAAAAAGTTGTTGAAAATGCATGTAAAGTGTAGAGTAGAAAGTGATGGTTATTTGGCAAGATGGTGCAGCCGAAAATCTTGACAAAAATGGATTTTGCTTCTGCATGTATCCATGAAATTAAAGGTTAAGACTTTGAACTTTGAAGGCCATTGCCTTTATTGTGCATGGTTGGATTTTGACCTTGCAGCCCATTTCATTAATTTTGGGGGGTGGATTTTTTGGCTATAAAAGCCATTTGACCATTCCGCAAAGCAAAAAAAAAAAAAAAAAAGAAAGAAAAAAAAAAAGAAGCAATTTAAAGCAAAGTAAGCTCTAGAAAATACAAGAGAGTTGTGAGTGCTTTGGGTGAGGATGAGCAAAAGCATAGTGGTTAAAATTTTTTATTGAGTGTTTTTTGAGTGTCTCGCATTTAAAAATATTGAGTAAGATTTTGGGTGTACTTGGAGATTGGGTATTTTTTAAGAGTATCATAAATTATATCTCTTTATTTTAATAATAAATTTTTCTTTGTAAGTGTCCATGGATGTAAACTCAATTAAATTGGAGTTTAACCACGTAAATCTTATCTTTCTTGTGATGGTACATTTTTTTTATTCCATTAATCTCTTAATCTTGAAATGGGTTAACCAAAATCTCAAGCAATTTGTTTCAACAGTTTTAATAATTATGAAAATCAAAACTAAAAATAAAAAATCACAACCATAGTAAATAAAACATTAATCCTTCATTTTTCTCCTCTCCTTCTCATTTTTCTCAAATCAAACATACTCTTAAAGTGAAATTATGCATTAATTCAAAATATCATAAGTTTTTTACTTTTATAGAATTCTCACATCCCTTTGTTACACAACTCTACATTTTACACACAAACCAAACTATATTTTTAAATATCCATGTATTTACCCTTTTGATTGAGAATTATAAGATCACTAGTGTCGGTGCTCCTATTTTTTATTTTTTAACCCTTTTTGATTAACCCTATCGGAGGTTTGCATATGGGTGTTGTTCGAGCTTGGTAAACTCTATATTTTATCATGGGGAGTACCAGGTGGTATCCCTTGACCTTGAGCTTCTCTAAAAAGGGAACATTACAGCCAGTTCAAGCAATAGTTTACTCAGTGAAGGCATGGAATTATGCTGAGATTGTAGGGGTTGCAGATGACACACACATTACTTCATAACATATCATGCCTTTCAAATTGTTCATATTCCGGGACACAAGACCAGAATGAGACCGAGTTGTAAATGGGCATCCAAAAAAAGGTCTGAAGAACCTGAATTTTTTCCTTTATCCTGGTTAGTTCTTTTGTAATACTAACCTTAAATGTAACGAAGTAAAGTGTACTTGTCAGTCTCTTTTTCAAGTAAGTCTATCATAGCAATCTCAGTGCTGTGTTTGATAAACTACCCCACTTTTCTGATGTAATCTTGATGTATTTGGTTGAAATTTGAATACATATTTGACAACCAACACTTTGTCTAAGAATCTGAAAAATGAACGAATCATAGAGAGTATGCAGTTACAAAACTAACAAGCCATTTCCAGAATTTTCCTTTCATTTTAGCTTCGCATCTGTTTGCCTTCTACAAAAAGGAAGAGTTTTTTTGGACTAAATGAAATGAATTAATAGCTTCGTTTGAGAAGAGGAGAGGGAAAATAATTATAACCAATCAAATTATTTTGTTGGCCCACAACTTAATTTGATTAGTGGAAATAAGAACTCCTCCCCCTTCCCTTGCATCCATTTCTCTCAAACTGAGTAGACAAAAGGAAAATGAAACACCTTACTTTATTTAGATATGAGAAATTGGGGAGAGAAAGGGTTTTATTTGGTTAAAAAGAGAAATTGGAGGGGAGGGAATAAATTCTAAGATCCATTCAATTTCTTTAAAATCCATTCAATTGCTTAACAACTTACCATAATGCTCTCGAAGCAAAAAAACATCAATTCAAACCTCAAAACTGCCATGCACCCAGCATTGCATTAATTTTCATTTAGTCATTTTAACCAAATTGCAGGAAAATAACCTATGAACATAGAGTCCATACAATTGAGGTTGCAGAGAGCAACCATGACCTTCCCGGCACAAACACTAGCTCTAATAACAAGATTTTGAGTAAGTGGTGTTGAGGGATGGATTTGCATGGCTATATAATTAGTGACGTGTGGGTCCGCATCAGCAAAGGCTCACAACACTTATTTTTTCACATCCAACGTGTGACTCCAATTTTCTATTAATTGCTACTGCGGAATCAACATCGCCAAAAATGACACTTATTTGCTTCACTGAGGACATCACGGAACATAACCCACTCCAGCATCTACTCCATACACATGGCTAGATATGGCTAGATCTATTCCGGCGACATGGTTGGGCATCTCTTAACGATCATGTCCTCTACAACGATGTTTGTATCCTCATTCTGGCTCCCAACAATGGATAAAGAGCCTATCTTACTACATGGTTCCCATCCCATCAAAGGATAACAAGCTAATCTATATAGCTCTCAGTGGTGGACAACAAGCCAAGCATTTATTTCTGCATATCTCTATCACTAGTTCACATCAATGGGCAACGAGTTGATCTTATTACACCCACACAGCTCCTAGCGATGGACAAGGGGCCAGATTTATTACATATTCATCTCACTGGCTCCCAAAAAGGGACAAAGAGTTAACACAATTCTGTACAATTAGCGTGAGGCTGTTAATAGTTGCAACCGTGCGATCGAATAGGATGGCTACCCTCCAACAATAAAAATCGATTAAGTAGTGGCTGGCGGTCCCTTGATGGTCGCCGGTGTATGGTGGTGTAGTGCCCAGCGAGCAACAACAACCAGGACCACTCTCTAACGGTGCGAGTATGGCAAGAAGGGCCAGCGTTCGTCAGTGGTATCACACCTTGTCGTATCAGAGGTCATGGATGCGGTTGGCGTCCCCCTTCCATGGAGACAACTCCACCTCTCTCTATATATATTCCTCGCTATGGCGGAGTCTGGTTTAATGAGATTTACTCCTTCGCGACTCAACGGACTAGTGGGAGTACTCTTCCAATTCCACATAGTTCACGCTTCAGCCATGGACAGAGCTAGCCACTATTGTCCCTCTAACTATGGGAAGGCTATTCATCACTGATCCTACAATGCTTATACGACATGGTCGGCAATCATGCATAATTATTATTCCCCGTACAAAGGGACAAAGTTATTGGCCGACAATAATCCAAATCTATAACGTATCTCTTTTATATTTTATGTTAGCAGGTATCGCCAGCCAGCAAAGCTTGGCTTGGGACAACAATATCACAGCACATACCATTATCATCTATTCTCTATTCTGGTGTCATAACTCAAATTTTAGTAGGATTTTATTTTATTTTAACTAATATGTTTTTATCTTTGTTTTTCTTGTTAGGTTCATGAGTAAAATGGGGATTTTTGTGAACGATTGGAAAGAAGTTGAAGGATGAGGGACTCAGTTGAAGAAATGAAAAGTCGGAGGGGTGAAGTTCATCAAAATGAATTTACAAACCCAAACCCAAAACCCATCAAACCCAAAGCCCACTCC